TATGTTCTTTTTGCTGATACTTCACTGTTTTCTGTCACACCAGGAGAACGCCTTTCACACCATTAAATCTTTTCTCCTAACTGCTTTGTTTTTGCTTACCCACTACTACCATATCCCTGTTTTCATTCCTCTTAATCTTTCCTTGCTGATTTTTCTTTTCTCTGAACACACACATAGAGCAGGCTCCCGCTCTTGACTTCATATAGCTACACATCACTCAAGGTCCTAAGAAACTGGGATGATTCCCAACTGGCATGGATTACCTCGGAGGGTTTTTCTGAATCAGAGTGTTTGGGTGTGCAGTCAGCAAGCCAACAAACGTGATTCCCTTTCACCGCACTGCTAGTTGACACGCATGTGACAAAAAGGTGTAAACAAAGGCATACAAGAAGGGAAGAACGAAAGAAAAGCCAAATAAAAATCACAGTAAAAACAGGTTTCCTTTTTCTATGAGTATATGAACATTTCTAAATGCATACTGAGACATTCAACTGTTATCAGCATTCATGTTTTGAATACTTTGACCTAGCGGCATGCCCTCACATGGAGAATGAAGCACGTATTTATGCACAAATTTGATATAGATAAAAAAAAAAAAAACAGTTTACAGTTTGCGCCGTACCTCACAGGAGCATTTCGTCTTAGTTCTCAGTGTTTTCTCCCCAGTTTGGAAAAACAGAATCCTGAGACAGCTTGGTCCCCTTTGCATAGATCTAAGACCTTCAAACAAATCAAGCCAGAGAAAAATCAACCTCCAGCTCCCTCTGCATCTACACAAGTGGGCAAAAATCCTACTCTGACATCCCACTAGAGAGGCTGAGAGTTAAAGGGAGAAGGAGGGAGAGAGAGGGGAGTGTGCCAGTTTGGGTGAATAAAGGGGAGTTGTTGAAAAGGACAGAGCGCATGAGTCAGTGGGAGTATGAGAGAGAGAGAGAGAGAGAGAGAGAGAGAGAGAGAGGGAGAGTGTTTACCAGTTTGTAAGATTGTGTGTGAGAGGAACTGAAAGAGAGTGAGACAGGAGTTTAAATCTCTAATTGCAGCTGCTGATCACAAGCCCATAGGCAGATGGTGGAAATGAGTGACACCACTTTATATGCTCCGCACTTGATCATGTCTGAATTGTGTGCACTGCAGTGCTTATGGGGAGAGGAACTGAAAGCTCAGGCAAAACAGTTCCAACCAGGGGAGCAGAAACGCAGCTGAGAGTGAACACCACGGCCAGGCTTTGCTCCTCAGTGTTATCCATGTTTGTATTTGGTATTACAAATGTCGTGCCTCATTTTGGGCATGAAGCCGGAGCTCATAGTTTATCTCTTTGTTCCAGACTGAATTCTCTCAGCAGCTATGAGGTGGATTTCCATCAGATTTTTTTTATGCACACGTTTTATTCCCTTCAGGATTAAATGCAAAGACTTTGGTCATTCCTTGGGTTATCTTATAGCATTACCATCAGAATCCCATTTTTTGCTTTGGTTTATAAGAAAATACCTTCATATAAGATATGGACAGCCACAGGGACTTAAGCTGTTGGTTTGTGGAATGCCAATTTACTTTCAGGGCTTAGTTTGGTATTTTTGCCATCAATGTATTAGGTCACAGGCTCCAGAGATAACCTTTAAGACATTCAACTTTTTAAAAATCTGATGGTTCATAGCATATGTCAGGTTTTGTTACTCTGGGGTGTGTGATCAGACTGTAACACCCATTTATGAGAGAGGCTGACTTGTTGTTTTTACTCAGTAGGGACTGAGTGTGGAAGTGAAGGAGAAAATAGACTACAAAGAAAAACTGAATTGCACTGCCAAGGAAAAAGATCAGCAGTATAGATCCATGTGTTGGAACCTGAAATGATCCATTTAGGGATTATTTTCCAAGCCTGAAACTTATCATTTGTTTTCAGGATTTTGACCTTTCAACAGCAGTTTAGTCACCACGTTCCCGCAGTGGAGCATTAATTGGTTGTTTTGTAAATTGATTGTAAAATGTTTCTCTCTAATTTTCAATGTTCTTAGCAACATTGAACACAAAAATAATAAATCAAATAAACTTGCACTGGATAGAAATGGTTTCAATTGAGTCAGTTTTGTGTAAAATTATTGAGGGGATCAAAAAACACGATTGGTATGTAGGGTTATTGTGTGCAAAAGACTCAATCACAAAAGGATTATCACTTTATTTTCCATGATTCTTCTCTCAACCTAACTTTGTTAAACCACTTTAAAAGAATATACATGTTAAAAACATTTTTTTTAAAAAGAAAAAATGTCAAAGTTGAAAGAAGTTTCTATCCCCTATTTAGCCTGTGCGTTATTAAGTGTGTATTTTTACAATGTAATTAGCAAAGGAATAATGAGATCAAACCACACTGCCAGTTTTAGGAGAACTAACAAGAAATAAGTGGTGTTAAAGAAAAATAAGTGAATTAATACGTGATGCCAATGAGCAGGTCCTGTTCTTCTTTATACAAATCATCTCAGGATGAATCATCAAAATGGTTAATTAGAGAACATTAACAGCACAAACAGGCTGAGCACTTTTAGAATCATGATTTGGAAAATTACATTTCGTAACCATTAAGCACAATGCAGATTTGGAGTATGGAGCTGAGGAAAAGTGGAATGATAAAGAAGAGAGAGGAGGAGCGGGAAAGCAAAAGCTTTCTCTATTCATTCAGCCATTTTGTGTTTTCTTTCCTCCTTTAATGAGTTTGTGTCCTTGGGGGGGTGGAAACCCTCAAAGAAAACAAGTTACATCAAGATGAACTTGAACAGAGACAACTTCAAGCTGTGTTTTTACTTTTTATCTCTAGATTGTACCTCTGCTATATTATCGTGTTTTCTCCTGACAGAAGCAGAACAATGTGAATTATAGATCAAAATGTGTTCAAGATCCATCTCAACAAGGGGAGAAAAACAAAAAGGGAACCAGTAATTTTGATTAATAAAGAAACAAAAAAGAAGCAAACTTCTCTCTCTGCTGGGTCAGATACTTTGTTCAAATCAAAAACAATTAGTGCATCCTCCAGCTGAATCCAGAATGATACCAAAAAAATGACAAGCCCCGAGCATGGTGTTTAGATTTTAGAGGAATCCAGTTTGTCGATAAACCAAATCCTCACTTAAATGAAAAATCCAGGCAGCCTCTTCAGCTGGAAGGCTCAGATCAGCCTTCCTGGATCAGCCTGATTACTCTGGGCAGACTGCAGCAGATCGAACTAATCCCCAAATACTACATAAGTAAGTACACGGAACAACCATGTAGCACATTAAAGCCCAGCCAGACATGCAAGTGCAGCACATTTTTGGAAGAGCGGTAAAGGTGAACGTTTGCATACGTACAAAATGACAACCTATGCAAGGAACAGCCTGCACTATGCGGATTTGTGCGCCAGTGTGGTGAAAAAAGAGCATGCTGGGCTTTATAATCAGGATTCGGGATCACCTTTAGTCGCCGTCATCAGTCAGACCTGTCTGAAAGCTACCAGGGAATTGGGAGAGGGGAAGGAGGGGCGGGGGCGTTCAGGGACAGGGAGATGTTAAGATCCTCAAGGCGTGCAATAAAACAATGAGAGAGTGTAGCTTTAACCAACTGAAACAAATGCTTCCCTTGAATCTACCCACTCGTGGTTTCACATTTTCTCTTTGAAAGTGTATAGAACAAAGTCAGCCTATATTTGTGATGTTGTGTTACTTTTTTGGTATTTATTGAACAAAATGCTGTTGGTACCTGTGAGAGCAGGTGGCTGGCAAAAACATTTCTGTCTAAAAGACATGGAAATGAAATTGGTATCCTCTCACAATCTTTTGGCAGAAACTGAAAAATGCAGTATTTCTCCACATCAAACTTCTCCCTTCATGGATGTTTGGGAAATCTGTTGTTTTATTGTGTTTCAAGTGTGTGTGCGTATGGTGTGTGAACTACACACAGTGTCAGCGTGTGTACACAGCAGGTCTCATTTCCTGATTCTCCGGTCAGATGCTGGTTTCTCTTTTGAGAGAAATGACATCAGCTTCCGCAAACACACAAGTCATCACCATGGCGCCGCACAAAGACGTTTGTGGCCTAAAGGAAAAAAGGGGGGGGGGGGGGGGCAGCATAATGCTTGACACATTTATCGAAGGGGGCTGAGTTTTTCACCCCTCTTTTCTGATACCCTCCTCCTTCTCTTTTTTTCTCCTCTTAGCTTGTGTTTGTTCAGGCGGCTGCTCTGGTAAACAGAGCCGGCGGCTCATCAAAGAGCCCCATGACTCCTCTTGGGTCCCAGCCCACGGCGTGCTCTCCTCATGAGTTCTGGCCTCATAGAATCTGATTTTTTTCTCTCCTAGCTGTTTCTCTTGTCAATTCTTCTGCAACCCCTTATTTGATCAAAGTTCTCATGACGTCACCACCTCCTGGGATTGGCTGACGCTTCACCCTAATAGACACCTGAGCAAACCTGGGTGAGGATGTGTGTGTGTGTGTGTGAGCTGGTCAAGGCAGAACTCAGGAACGACTCTTTGTATTTTCAGCGTATTCAGAGATTTGAATATTTTGGCAATGAGGTATCTGAAAACCATTCATGAATGATGTTTTAGTTGTTTTGAGGGATTTGGCTGTAAACAAAAATTCTGAACCCAAATGAAACAAAACTCTGGAGGCTTAGCGGGTAATTGCTATTTGGTGTTCCATGACGACCAAACAGCATGTGTATTTTCATGATGTTAATATTTCTCCATTATGAAAACTTCCATCATTATATTCCAGAAAATTTAAATAATTCTCACTTTTAATGTGATATTGCTCCTAAAAATACACCTAAAATACAGATAGTCTCATAACAAATATTTCTGGTAAACCAGCGAAATGATAAAATATGCGTTTAATAAAAGAATAGTTTGTAAATGCTAAGCAATATGGGTATCAGAATGAACACAAATGCTTTAATCCTTATACAAACATTCTTTATTACACATTTTCAAGTCAATTTCTTCCATTTAAAACACTTCAGGCTCACTCACTTTTCAGTGTTTTTAACTGATCAAAATTAAGTGCACACAAATGAATGAATTTCATGGCAAAATGAATAGTGGGAACTTATTTTATTGTTCACTAGTACCTGCAGATATATCCACACGGCCCTGAAGTAGATGTGATCTGTACTGTTCCGCAGGAGAGCCTCTTCCAATGATAAAAAAAGAAAACACACAAATGATTTTGCCCCTTCATTGTTAGGCAATAACCAGAGAATCTTTCAGCTGTCACATGCACGATATCTGAACTGATTTTGATGTACAGCAGGCCAGAAGCTGATGAGATGAATTTGGAAAATCTATGTAAACCCTTTGAATTATCAGTGATTCATGTACTTTTGTGCATTGCAACATGAGCACCACAGCAGAATCTGACAGGAAAATGTATGCAAAATAGTTGATTATTATGTTGCTTGCTATTAATACCCCACACCTCCCCAGATGTAGCTCTCCCTCACTGCCCCTGGATTTATTAGAAACTGAAGCTTTATCTAGTGGAGAAATTCAACTGTATCCTCCCGGACTCTCAGCTCCTTTGAAGGTGCATATGTAATTGGCCAGCAGTTCTGCCTGAAGCTAAAAATATGCTCTTCTGGTTTATTTCAACTGTCAATTCTCACCTTTGGAATGATGTTTCTCTTTTGTTCTGCCACACAGAGTAATTCAATTCTTTTGTTGTGTGTCTGTTTGTTTTGGAGGATGTGTTGCTTTATTTGGAACTAAATTGGAATATCAGTTTAACATTACAAACTTTGTTTAAAAAGATGATATTGTGTGATTAAGATTCCGACTATTAAAAGAAATCGCATGCAAGAGAAAAACATTTTTTACTAGTGCAGAATGTGAGATTGTGACAATAAAATAAAAACTGTATTTGTATGCAGTAGTAGGGTGATATGGCTAAAGTAATACATCTCTTTTAGGCTGAACCACAGCGTTGTTATAGATATATAAAGAAAGCAGAACCGATTCTGAGAGTTTTAGCAATACTCTGTCTTGATGAATGGCACAAATGAACACAATAAAGCTAAAGATCCTCTACACACAGTGAGTCACTCAGTCGGTGGAGGAACTGTAGCTTATTTTTCAAAGAAAAAAGAGGAAAAAGCAAAAGTCAGGCGGGGTCAACAGAACTGCGGTGCTGTTCCTCCTCCATCTAACTGCAGCATCCCTTTTCCTTCAGCGTCGTGACAGACTTTAGGCCAGTTTCAAAGCACCCAGAAAGGTAGAATCTCCTTCCAGAGACACGTTGGCCACCGACCGCGGGATCAGAAGCTCCAAGTAGTCTCCCACCTCCAGCTTCACAATTCCTGGGGATTCAAATGTCCACTTAAGAGCTTGGAGTTACAACTCCCTCAAGCAGCGAAAAGGCAATCCCCTGTAGCTCAACTATTACCGTAAACAACACCACGCGTGCACATGCTCACCTCCTGTGTAGCAGGTGTTGTAGGAGTAGACAGGGTCCATGCTTTGGATGCATCGGAACAGATGAACATCCGGATCCTCGTTTCCCACGACGTACCTCTTCCATCGGATCACCACATGGCCCATCGTGAAGGTTCTGTCCATGTAGAAGACCTGCACCCATCACAGTGATTATGTTAGAGCAGTAAAACCCAGTTCTAGTGTGAACGGCGGAGCATTTGACATTGTGCACGCTTCATTTGCGTTCTTTTTTAAATGTCTTTTGTTCAAGGTCTATCAACCCACCACACGCTTCAACTGAGCACACCATCTTATTTCTCTGCACTATGAGAGAAAAAAATCTTGAGGTTTTTAAATAAAATAAAAGAGAGAAGGAAGAGTAACAGCAGCCCCTTGTGGTTTAAAGGTGAAACAATAGTCAACTGACCCACCTGACTGTACACAAAGTAGAAGCCTTCCTCTCTGACCTCAATGCGGTCACTGACGGCGTTGAGGGCAGAGCCTCTCCTCAGCCCGGCCAGCCAAGGGATGCCTGTGTACGAGCCTGAGGGAAGCTCTAAGTGAAGATTTAAAATCTTATCAGAAAGCATGGACATTTACTTAAAGTGGACATGCACACATGTCTCTTTCAGTTTTAGTAAGAAACTCATATTGCATATGCGGAACTAGAATGGTGAATTTCAATTGAATGTGAAACAACATTATTACGTATTATTACATACACAGTATGTACCTTTCTTGAAGGTTTTTCTGCTGTTGTTGGCCAACAGCTGCAGGCAGGACTGAGAAACTGAGAACACAACACAGGAGCTAAGTTTGAGAAACAGCACATTATGTTAAAGCTCAAAGTAAAATGCAGCCAACATATTAAAGTTAAAAAAAGTAGAAAAGTTTGGTCTGTCTGACTGATAATAGATAAATAGGAAAATTAAATCTAAACATTTTGACTCTTTGATCAGAAACATAAAAGGTTAGCAATTTTTTTTTCCAATTTGTAGATATGATAGATTGTACATGTGTTCATGTAATAGTTTGGAATAAAAAAAGATTAGCCCCAATCTGCACCTTTTTTCTTTCCTTTTTTGTTGTTGTTTATTGACATAAAACCAACAAAGTTATTCCGCTGCATAAGAAATGTGACTGAGATACTTACATATGAAAGAAGTTTCCAGAAACATGCAGAGGAGCAGAAAGCGCAGTGTCTCTGTGTAATGCTGAGGTACTTTTAAAAATTGTTCTTGGCATATCAACATAGCTGCTTTTCAGCTCGGTGTGAGCTTGTTGGCAGAGACACTGGACTGTTTTACACAGGCACGGTTTATGAAAGTTTCACAGTTTTCTCGGCTCCTTTCTTACCCAACGTCTCTGTCCCAGGCACCATTCTCTTCCTCCTCATTAGGCTGAAGGCGTGCTGAGAGCCGGCTTGGTGCAGAGGCTCCGGGCTGCTCCTCCTGCCGCCGTCAGCTCCGGTCTGCTCAGACACGACATTCAAACACAGTCAGCTACACGGAACTCCCGTGTTTTACAGGACGGCTCTCGCTTTGGCCCGTGTCCCCGGCGGTTTGCTGTCCGCTCACCTGACCGCCGCGCGTGACCTCTTGGCCCTCTTCTCTCCGGCGGCTCACGTCCGACTTGAGCCCCTGCACCTCGGCTCTCAGAGCCACCAGTTGGTACAGGGACAAAGCCGAGAGGGAGGAGGAGGTGACAGCAGCCAGCGTCAGCAGGAAAACCGGCCAGGACAGCCTTCTTTCACCGGCCCCCGGCTCCACACCGGCCACAGCTGCCATGGCAGGTGAACATCAAACCCTGACAGAGCTCACAGCATGACCGGTCCCAACGTCCGAACCCCCGAGGCGCCTCTCCTTTGACAGATCCCGGAATGGCGGATGTTTTCTTTTTTTTTCTTTTTCTACCGGGTTGGCTTTCCCCCTAAGAAAAGACAGACTTCCTTAACGCTCGTTTCTGTCATTTACTTGTCCGATCTGGTTCATTCTAAAGAAGTGCGCAGAACAAATAGGCTACTGTACGACAAAGGGCAAACAGCTTCCCCCTCTGTTGTTCCGCTCAGCTAACCACCCTCACAGCTTCCTGCCTGACCAGCAGCCACGAGAAACCTCTCTCAACCATCCTCCTTCACCACCACCCAACACATGCCAGCTTCTAACAAAGACAAAAGAAAGAAGAAAAAAAGAAACAAGTCCGCACAGGACAGATCAGAGACAGGCTGGCTGAGAAAAAAGGTTTTGGTAATTTTGGATTGAGAAGAAACAGACGTCAGAAAATAAACCCCACCGACTTCAGAATTTGACAGTCTGAAAAAAAAAGAAGGAAGTGCAAAAAAAAAAAAAGACTTCTATTACGAGCAGTGCCATAACAAGGCAAAACAAACTAACTCCAAGAAGAAAAAATGTGAAGTGACCCCCCCAACCGGTCTCAAAAAAAGGAGTTCGGGGAAAAGTGCAACGTTCACAGCAACCAAAAAGAAAAGACGCACGAACCAGAGAGACAAAAAGACATTTTGACGTATCAATTTATTGCATGTTACCATACAGAAAATAGAAAGTGAAAATGTGTGCTTACAAAAAAAGAAGTTGACAGAGTTTTGGAGATAGAAAAAAAAAAACATTCTATTTTCTGAAATGGAAAAAACTAGTCATAGAACAAGTCATTCAGGTGTCTTTCTTTAAGCAGATATAACAAGTCGATGTTTGTTTTAAGCAGAGCCGCGGGTAATCTCCAGGCAGATGAAGACAAAGCATTTCAACACTGCGCAGCCTCATGACAAGAGGTAAGCCAACTCAGAAGTTAATCACATGCCAACTTGCAACCTGTATATCCCCAAAATATTTGCAGGAAAATGCGAAGAGTTCTTTCCGATCCATCCGGACAAATGAAACATACATAAAATATGCTGCCTGGTGAATTTGGGACAACACCAAGCGGATCCTTTTTACTGTTACAATCAAACCGGACATTCATTCAGCTCGACTCCATTTGTGTTCCAGAAGTGTGTTGCACGGCAGGGACACCTTTGTCAAGATCAAAACTCAACTGTTGTGTTCAGAATTAGATCTACTTTAAGCCACAGGAACCAGATGGTAGCTCAAGCTGAAAAGTTCCTGAATCTTATCATTAAATGGAGAGCTGGTGCAATTCAAAATCAACAGCAGACGTTTGGACTCAGCATGTCAATTTAATAAAATAAAAAAATTAAATGGTAATTGTTTCACACACATGGGAGAGAGGATTATCACCACACAATCTTCTTATAATAAAGCATGTTAATTTAAAACCATCCCTTACATTCAGTGACTTTTGTCAAGTCGTCCTTGCAATGACACACACTGATTTGGTCTTTTTTTTTTTTCCCCGTTTAGTTTTTTTATGCCGTCAAATCTCTTTTGTTTTTTTCTTCTCCTTTTTCTTTTTTTAATCAAATATGGCTGAGGAGATCCGTTGAGTGGATTCAAATGGCTTCCAGAGCACTGTGGTGCCGTGTGTGCTGCATTTAGAAAGCGCCGGGCTCTGCTCCGTCCCGTGGAAGACATGCAGGAAAGGTTCATTAGCTCCTTAAAAGCCCTCAGAGAGTAAAGCCGTTCTGCACAGAGGTCTCCAATTAACAATTACAAGGCTGATAAAAAAAAAAGTTAGCAAATGATCACGACATTCCGTTTAAATCTTTATTCCGAGCTCCCCCCGGGTCGGTGGCGTCTTCACAAAGCTCAAACTGGCACACACCGAGGATGTACGTTGAAAGAACAACTCGCCCAAGTAATCGTAATCATGCACCGGCCGTTTTACAAGTGACGAGTGTACCAGACATGGGACAAATTCCACTATTTTTCTCTTCATGAGAAAAAAAAAACCGAAACAAAAAAACTGCTAACCACAGTCCACTACGTCAACAGAGAGACTAACATGATCACATCTTAGCGTTTTTCATAAACCACTTCTTCAATTTGGATAACTGCGTTTTTTTTTTATTTCCTTTCACCATACTCAAGACTACAGAGGCCTCAACACTATATGCACAACATGAGGGGGGAAAAAAAAGGAAAAAAGTAGCTTTTTTGGGGAAATAATTCCAGCTCTTCATTCAGACCCCCATCGCCTCCAGCGGATTTACTGCATCTGCAAACGATAAGCAGGGGCCAAGAGGATTAAAGCAAGTTCTCCTTTTTGGGTGAACATACTGGTGTGACGGCGTTACGCAGAGGTGGAACTGAAGAAACCCGTCTATGAACGACAGACCACATAAACGCTCCTCGCTGATGGACGGATGCTCAGCCGGCGCCATCTTTTATGCTAAAAGCTTTTCCTAATCTTAATAAAACAGACATAGCTCGCTGGTAAATAAGTTCAACCCCCCCTCCTTAAACAGGCAGAACATAAAACAGGTCAGCTCACACTCGTTGAATGCAGGATTTCTCCAGTTGTAGCGGCAGATTGACGTCTGGGGGTGAAAATACTTTTTAAACTAGAATGCCAAAAATAGAGCTTGAACATGACAGTGATGTTTGTACCTAAAGATCCTACTCAGGAAAGCAGGAAGAGAAACATCCTCGTGCTTTTTAAAGTATTGCTCAGAAGATGTTAGTCCACATAATCAAAGACTTGGTGAAATCTAAACAGAAAAGTGCAATGTATTCAAGATATATATATTTACAACACGCTCCAACATGTTACTGTAATTCTCCAAATCAGATAGCCATAGTCCTAATTTTGACTAGAATAACAATCAAAGTTCATTGACAAAACAACAGGCCTTCGCATGGGAGCAACACTATGAGAAAATCACTGAATTAAACTCATTTCTCAGCAGGCTGGACTGCAGATGGTTCAGTGGTTTTTTTAAACGGGTGGTAGCGTGGGCTCTGGCTTCCAACACAAAAAGGTCAGAAATTCATGCATTCACAGTTGCAACGCACACAAACCAAAGGATGCTGTGACCAACTCTTAAAACCTGGAAACTGTGAAAATACCTTTAAACATATCAAATTTACAGAGAAGTAAAAAACTGAAAATAAGATCCAAGCAAAGGTAATAAAACAAAACAAAAAAGAAAACATACATTCTTTCCAAAAATCTGTTGAGTCCCTTCCATCAGTCGACTCCATCACGCCCACAGCCCGCAGATCGGCCCGCTCATCAGATAATGGTGACGCTCGCTGTGGGCTGAGCGCTCTCTTCGTTGGCGTGGCTCTTCAGCAAGTCTTTGATGAACTGCTCCAAAGCGGAGAAGTAACCCTGACACTGCCACGTGTCGTTGTGTGTGCCCTCTGGGAAGATAGCGAGGCGTTTAGTCCGAGAAGGAGACAGCTCGTAAAGTTGCTTCATCATGACGGGTGGGATGAGCTGGTCCGACAGGCCCGACACAAACAGCGAGGGCATGCGGCACTGCGGCACCTGCCGATAGGACAGGAACTGATTCCGATAGCACCACAGGGGCAGCAGGCGCATGGGCAGGAAGGAGAAGAGGGTCGCAGCCATGTGGGGGATGCTCAGGAAGGTGTTTTCAACAATGATGGCCGCCACGCGGTGGGGGTTGGCCGATGCCAGGCGGACGGCCACAGCACCTCCCAATGAGCGGCCGAAGAGCACCACCTTTGTTTTGTCCAGATCGGGACGGGTCATGACGTAGTCCAGCGTGGCCTCGGCATCCAGGTACAGTCCCTCCTCACTGGGTTCTCCTTCGCTTTTTCCATAGCCGCGATAGTCCACCAGCACCACGTTAGCTTTTAGGTTGACGAGCATCAGAAGAGCGTTCGGCACCCGGTGACCGATGTTACCGGCGTTACCGTGGAAATAGAGGATCGTGGGCGGAGCGGTGGAAGCGGGGCTGCCCTGGTTCCCAGAGGTGACTCCAGGAGGCGTGTCCCCTCCGGTGTAGCGAAGCAGGATGAGGTTGAGCTTCACGCCGTCCTTGGTGCGCACGTACACGTTCTCATGAGGGATTCCTGTTGGCATGGGAACGTAAAGGCGAGAAGAGGATGGCTGATCGGGGAAGTAGAGGAGAACATCCTGAAATTTATAGAGGATTCCTGCCACGGATGCAAGAATGAGTGCAAGGAGAAAAAGCCCTCCATATAAGTGGAAGGTGAGGATGAGGGCCAAAAGGGAGACCCGGCAAGCACCCCAGGACCAGGAGACCAGAGTCAGGGTGCAACGCTCCATCGCCCCCCACAGCCTCCAGGGCTTCTCCATGGTTGCACAAGATCTAAGTCACAAGACGCACATCCTGCAAACACAGACAAGGCAAATGCTTATGAATTCTGAAAAAAGACATCATCAGAGTATATAAAAAAATTCATTAAATAGTCCAATTGTAGCTGGAAATGGAGCATAATTAACAAAGTGCTTATTCCTTAGACATAAAGTTGTTTTTTTAAGCTGAAGTCAGTAACAATGTGATCTTGATTTATGACCATCTTGTTTTTAATTTTCACATTTCTATCATTAAGCGGTTCATTTAATAGTAAAAGAGCCTGATAAGACTTTTGGTGCACATAATCATCATGAGATTTCAACTTCAAATTATCGTATTAAAAATGGTCCCAGTAGTGTATTTATGATTATTTTAAAGCACTATCAGTATAAATAAGGCGTACCAACATATATGACCTACATTAAGCTGTTAAAGGAGGGCTATTTTGATAACTGTACTTTTGTCCAAACAACTCTCCAGGCACAATGGCTATTTTAAGGTAGATGAATTAACTCCTCGCTACAAAAAATAAATAAAAACAGAATGCTATTAGACTGTTTTGAGGTGTGACAAGGACTGCAGTCTGCCTCAGCCATCCCTCATCTGTCAAAGACATATAACTTGTTTTGGAGCGTTGCTGGATGTACAGATATTGTGGATTAAAAAATTACAATGTCTCGACCCCACCCACAAGGAATAGATGGTGACAGCTGCTGCCAGCTAGATAGGAAAGCTAATACGACAGCCGTCAGGAGAGCTTTTACAGGTAGATGGCAAACATTACCAAACGGTAGTCGCTGTCATCCCTCAGCCCTGTTTCTGATCAGTCCCAACTGGCAGTAAATAAAATGTGACCTAAATCCAGAACAAAAATCTAGGCTAGTTGAAAACGAGTTAGCTCAGTTGGAAGTATGCTAACCATTCCGCTTTCGTTAGCTTGCATTACCCCGTCTGGTGCTATTAGCACGGTTGCGTTTAGCTTTTAAGTTAGCCACCTAGCTAGCTCCTCAAATGGTTAGCTTGGCAGCCACCTACTCACCCTTCTCTCATCTTGGCATCACAGCAGAGTTCACCAGCGATTATTTTTACGACAAAGTGGTAAGCAGGCAGCAGAGACTGCCAATAAGCCCCGTAATTATTGAGCTCAAATGAGTAAATACATAAATGAAAGTGACTGACAGTAACAACCGGCGAAGCTATACAGTGGGCTAGCATTCCTAGTGTTACTTTTGAATGTTCCGTGTACAGTTCAGGATAAGGAGTACAGTTCCGGTAAATTTATGGTGCGTAAGCGTTAATTTATTAAGTGTTTTTTAGCTACACTTTCATTTATTGATAATGTCGATAAAATAATTCGTACAGCCTGCAATGCACTACATAACACTCTTTTGGGCTTGCGGAAAAATTATAATGTAAACTTCCCCTATCATCCCTGTTCTGTCTGTTACTCGACGTTTTTCCACCAGGTGCCGCTCTTACAAAGAATATAATCTTGGTAACTCCATATAAAATCTGTACTCTGTACCAAGTGGTATGGCTATAGATCTTTCAAGGACAGGCTTTACCACTGTTGTTAAACAGGAAAAATAGTTCTTTTTCGTATATATTTATCTTGATCAATGCCTTTTCATTTTAGTAGTGACTCCCCATACGCTGCTTTCCACAGAATAAGCTTTTAATAAAAACAAACATACAGGACTGCCAGTGAATCCCTTTCTCACTTGAAACTTAACCTAATCATAAATTCAGAACCCCACAAGAGAAGATGTTTTACATAACATTGATTCTAATTTGATGCTGCAAGCTATACTTTTACAGTTCTTATAAACGTATTGCTTTTGAAAAGTGCTTGAAACATGTTTTTAGATCCTGACAAAGTCAGGTCAAACACGTTTGATGTAAAGAGCTGATGCAAATGCCTTTGAGCAAAGTTTCACCCCATAAGAGAACATTCAGGTGGCATGTCCACCTGCAAACAATCTTAATCTCACTTCCTGTTTACCTGGGACAACAGCTCAATAGGCTGCGTCAGCCACAAATAAAAGGATCGGGTCAGCAAAATGAGAAAAGATTAGTGAATTGAGGGTTTAGCTACCAGATGGAAGTGAAAGCTCTCACCTAATTATGTTGTGACCCATAAACTAATTAAACTAATTAAATGTAATGGAGAGTGCAATGATAAACGTTAGATCATTTTAAAAAATTATGTTCAAACAGTTTTTATTTGAGATTGTCTCCATCTGTGTCGATAGCTCACTGGTTTTGCTGTGTTTAACATCTTGCTTTTGCTCAGTGTGACCTTGCAGCAGATATATTACACAGGAACCAGAGCAGCTGTTGGCTGCTCAGCTTTGTCCTTGAGGTTCACTGATTTGATTCTATGTTGATCAAGTCAGCATCAGGACATGTAGATGGATCATGCTGTTCTATTCTACTAGTAAAACTTAGAAAGGGAAGCCAGAATACAATAAAACTATATCTAGCAAATGTCATTTTTCTGTATTGATTTGCATACATGATTAGGTTAATTAACTACCTAACGTTGATTAGTTGTGTATGATGGACAACTTTAAAGCTGAGATTGTAAAGGAAATGTGATATTACTTAATAGATAATATGTTGTTAACAAAAAGAGGTCAAGGAGACTTGAAGGGACTGAAATTCAGGTGTTTGCGTTCAGAATACATTATCTTATTAAAAAAAAGTTTTTAAAACTTAAACTTGCCTTTTAAACTATATTTCTGGCAATTTTTTTTAAAGACAAGATAAAACATTCCTTTATTAGTCCTATAAGGGGGAATTTGAGGGCAGATGGAAAGAAATCCAAAAAAGCATGGGGTTGCTGCACTCTTAAATAGTTGGTCCATTTTGACCCTTGTCTTTGTATACCAGATTTTTTTTTTCCTTTTGCTCTTATTAAATGGTTCAGTCTCTTCGCATATAGTGGGTTTTTCTATTTCTCTGTAAAGATTTTGTTTGGGTGCTGTTTATATAAATCTGTGCTGAGGAGAGTTCAGCTAAAAGGTACAATCACACTGCAATCCACTGTTGTAAATTATGTATAGACACAGAAAAAGACTGTTTTGCGCCATAATATGATATTAAAACTGGGAATGTTATTTTACAGAGTTGAATGAAATGTATTGAAATGCCTATGCTAATAGTATATAGATGGAGATTGACCAGAAAGTTTTGAAAGATTGGCTAAACCCGGCCTCTCCCCAACCAACTAACTGAAACAACCCAGTTAGACTGCTACAAAGACCAATGTCATATCTACAATACTGAAAAAAAACTGTTGGAATCAATTTATTTTTTGTTGTAATGTGTCCAAAGATATTGACATTGTTGGCTTTTTTCTTGCTGTATTCAGTGGATGTATCTCAATCATTTCACTATGTTTTTCAACACTATGTTTTTGGGCACCCCTATTATACTGTATACTTGTTTGGAGGCCGACTTTGTAGAAATTACAGAAAAAAATACATCCGTTCAATTTTTTGGGAATCAAAACTTAAAAGACTGTTCCTGTTTCTTTCAAAGGCAGTTTGATGAAGTCTTTGTCGGAAAGGCAAGAAGTGCTGATGAAAATGTTTCATAAAGGTGTCATCAGGAAGCAACATAGGGGACATAGCTGAGCTCAGACAGACTGAAAGAACCAGAGAGACACAGGCTATCTAAGGTAAGTGTCATGAAATGTGAAGACCTTTTGCATTTAGAATTCTAAATACATACAATGTGTTGCATGCCGTGTTCATAGAAGACCTATATGAATGCCTGAGAATTTGAATTAGAGCATAAGGGTTGCAGCTCGTTGAATGATGATGCAATTATTGCCATCAAAGTATTTCCCTCATCATTTATTCTTGAGAATTTAGTTTGTTGCCCCCTCCTCCCAACACTGGAATGAAATCCCTTGTCCATGCTGCTGTGGCCATGTCAGAAGCTTCCTAAAATTTGACTTTTTTCATATATTCATTAGAATAAATGTTGAGCAAGCACGCACATGGAAAACGATTGGAACGATCAGCATTCAAGAAATCCAAAGCACACACACACGCGCGGACACACAGACATCTGGACATCCATGCTTGCTCTTTGAATTATAGAGAATGCTGCATTCTGATAGATTCACTTCATAAGAGACTGATACATGGCAGGTTTACTCTCTGTCTTACCTTCAACTCAATTATCTTTGACATGACAGTGGAGACATATTTAATGCATGCAGACACACCTGCACAAACTCCTTTGGAACCTTCTCTTGCGGCTGCTCTTTCAGTCCCCCGACTCACTTGAAATATAGCTCTCCAAACAGCTGGAGGGCCCAAGCTCAATAACATAAACTCAGAGCTGCTATAGGATGAGGAGTGACTGTGATGACCTGGCGGAGAATATCATGGCATCAGGCCAAGCAAAATGCTTATCATTCACCTCACACCACGCAGCCAGCAGCCTGCTAGGGACAAAAGAGCCGGAGAATGCAATTCTACAAAGTTCCCTTTGATTACTCGGAAAATGGCGCACAGCTTTCATGCAGAATGCTGACTGATATTTTGGTCAGACAGCACCTTTTATGACTGATGTTGTGACTTCAGCTCTTTGTAAGTTGCATCATTTGCCTGGTTTTATGAAAGACATTGTTGAGCCTCTGTTACATTAACTCAAATGAGTCTCCTTTGACTTGCTATTCGTTGAATTCTGTGCATAAGGTGAAAGATGTTGGTGTCCATGGCTACAATTTAGATGTGTTGTCACCTTGGAGACAGTACATTACTCGGAATCAGAGATGACAGCTACATGGCAACTCATTTAAAAAACAACGCTGCATTTTTTAGTGATGTGCGCTGAGCAGCGAAGGCCTACCCGTCACTGTGATAATGCTTCAAAGAGTGACCTATACACTTTGCCTGCCAGGAATTTGTTAGGTGGAAATTGTTGAATATCTGAAGCAGCAATTAGGAGCCCCCCCATGGTGAAGAGGTTCTAATTTATCAAAGGCTACATTTGCCTCATTTCACTTGCAAATAAACATTCTGTTGCACCCATGTTGATATCTATCAGTATAATTACTCTCTATAGATGTGTGTGAAATCTTCAGACGAAGATCTCTTTTTGCCGAGCTCAACGAAATTAGGATGCGTTTAAATAAAAATGACAATGCAACTAACTAATAATCAGCAACTCAAAAATGAACTGTGAGGTAAAGACGACGTGGCTCCCTGGTTAGGTTGATTTGTAATGTCAGGATGTGGGTTTTCTGTATAGATAAGGGGGTTATGACAGTCACAACTTGCCCCGCCTCAAGTGATCGTACAAATAAAAAAATTATGACATGACTACTAAGGATATAAGACATGAACATGAACATAAACATGAATATAGAAAGCAACAATCACAAAAAACAAGTCACTGAAACAGACAAAATGTTTTTAATCCATGTAAAATGATTCTGAGTCTAACTCGGGAGGGGGGGGGGGTCCTTAGATTTATTGTAACAATCTCAATAGCATTTAATCAGAAACTCTTGACATTTAAAACATCTTTGGATTATTTGTATTTTGTTATGTAATAAAAAATGTTAATTAAAAAAAGTTATTATAATTAATTCCCAAAATCTGACTAAGTGTATAATTGGAAACATTTCCTATTGATTTGATTAGTAAATCCTCAGCACAATCTTTAGGATGCTCATGACCATTTGGTCTAAGTTTCTAAGTATCAAACTGAGAAAAAATGGGCAATATTCATCCATTCATCCTATTTCTAAATCCTCCTACTCCAGTTCAGGGGCACAAGGGATTGGAATCAGGAATGGTCTACACCACTCCACCATGTGACCACTGACAGTGGAGGCCACTGCTGTTAAAGCCAGCCATTGGTCACTTCAGTAATAAGCTCGTGCTTTCAAAGGCAGATGGTGGAATATGAGATGGAGATAATCCATGTATTACCAGGCTTTTCATTTGCTACTGTCCATCATCAAGAATATAGTTCAGGCTGACCTTGCACAAGTCTTTAATTCTGTCCCTTTTACTGTGCCATAGAGAGAAAGCAAATAATTATTTTCCATCAAGGATCCAATTATTATTCTGAGGTCGTAACCACCTCAGTTGCCAACAGCAGTGAAAATACTCAGATCCTTCATTTCCGTTATACTACCAGTTAGTCAGTGATGTAGAAGCAGAGAAATGCAGTTTTGGCTAGTTTGAGACGATTTGAACATTGCTTCAGAGTAAATCAGGAGAAGTAAAGTGGATAAATATCTCGATCTGATGGAAATGTGAATAAAGTGTCATTCTTTTATGCTAACATTCAAGACAATT